GAATAGCAATGGTCAATACTGAGCTGTAAAATACAAAAGAGGGGAACATAAATGAAACATGATCTCTTATCACACATAAATACTTTTAATGTGCCTTTCAGCAAGGCACTTAACCCCCCACTGCCGTGTGCTGAGGGGCCAGCAGATAAAGACTGGGATTATACTGGGTAGCCCTGCTGCTTGTAACTGTGTGAATCGTTATCTCAAAGTTAAATTCTCGAGTAAACTAGTTAAAATCTCTTCTTTTCTTTATGTTTGAAAGTCTTATTTACATCAAACATATTTACAGCTTTGGGAGTCACTCTAGGTTTTTGCACTATTGAACATTATCTCCTCAGTTTTTTTCATGAACAGCACCTCTGTTAATATGAACACACAGAGGGACAGCTGTCTTACATGAACGATTCTCTGCAGTTTGGAGAGGCATCGTGGGATCCCCTATACTGTTTTATTAGGAGCGAGCAGAAAATAAAGATTTGATAAAAATCTTCAGCTATCATTGTACCTGGACAGATGTGGTGTATAAAGGTAATCCACTGATTTGTTGATTCATCAGGCATGTACACTTCATCTGTGCACTTACATGCAATTCTTCTTTTGTTCAACTATTTTGCTTAAATTATAGAGCCTGAGTACACGGACACACTGATTGGTGAACACACACGGACAGACATTCATCTAATGCTCGTATATTGATTTGAAACGGAGGCACGTGCTTCTTAAATATACAGGAAAAGCAAGCTGAAACCTGAAAATCCGAACTATTTTATGAGTCTCAACAATAGAAGAAAAGAAGCCCACTGAAGTAGCATAGTCTGCTGTTTTGCTGACAGCCGGCACTCATTGAAAGTCCTGAATTAAATATGAGGGACTGTTAAGTTAAATACCGATAGGAGCATTGTTTTTCCATGAGCTTAACGATACTCTTGGTACTGGCCAATCACGTACAAGTAATGAAAATTACTAGTTTTTGATACTCATCCGTACACAAAGCAACAAGAAGAACAAAAAGCCTGCTAAACGCAATAATCTGTTGCAAGAGACGATAATCATCTATCTATCTATCAATCACAGTTATCTCAGGACACTTGATGACATTTATAGACTGTTCTCTGTTAGATTTTTTAGAGTGACTCTAAGCACGTACTTTGCAATGTTTTGCAACACTAGCAAGGAAAAGCCTCTTAAGTGTTCAAATGTTTGTGCGTTGTGCTATGTGTGCATGTTTTGCGACATAGAGTTTTGAAAAATGTGTGGTGGGATACTTAACCAGTCTTTTGAAAAACACTAAATGATTGACTGCTTTGTTGATGATCTCATCCGTGCATCAAGAACATTAAGTCTCAAATTCAAACAGTGCATGATTCATCCATCATACCCTCAAGTCACACTCGCACAAACAGAGGGAGGCGTATGTGCGGTATTTGGGGTGTGTACCATAAACACTCTTGCTCCTTTGTTCTCCTAAAATAGGCACTTTTAGATGACAAGAATAAAGCAATGGAAAATGACTGTTTTTGGATTGTAAAATCTTTGTTGTCCACGAGGGGCATTTCGGATGTCAGATAGTCAGTGATGCTGATTTTCAACAGGAGGATAATGTTTCTTGCAACATGATGGTGTTCGGGACCGTGTGAGACTGATGTGTGATCCCTTTAATACTCACTTCATCAGGTTCGCTTACTACTATATAGTTTGTTGTTAAAGCCTTTGATATGTGATAAACATAACCATGCTGTAACATGAACACATCGTTGATTATCACCCTGGTCAGTAACCATGACACTGTTCTCCTGTAACGCCACAACTCAACTCCTCTCTTGTGGCCGTCATTTCTCCTAATCCTGGCTCCTAGTTCATCTCTTTGATGCCCAACAGGGTCTTAATTATAAGCATGTGGTCCTTTATATGCACATGAATTATTATTTTCCTCCTCTATATTGATTCCACTTTCAATTATATTCATATTTATTAACATTACACATAACCTTAATCAGAGAGACTTCCCCTTCTTAATCACATCTTGTTGTCTGTTTTTAACAAGTAGAAGAAAACATACAAGAATGCCCACAGGAGTCACTGTAGTGTATTCATTTCATTGAAAATATTCTTTCGAAGTTATTTTCCTACTGAACCTGCGAGGTGGTCTTTAACGTGAACATGCCGCCCACTTCCTTGCTGTCTATTCAGTGATAACAGTTGTAGTGCAGAACGAAGATTTGCTCTCCCTGCGAATCAATGCTAATTACATCATTATGCTCCCCCGTCCCCTCTCTCCTCTCTCTGGGGTTTCACACTCCTCTCTGGCCTTTTTCTCCTCACCCGCTGCTTCCCTCGCTCTGTCTGCGTCCCTCCCTTTTCCCCCTCCTGTCTCCACTCATCACAGACGAGGTGAAGCCATCTGAGGCTACTTGCACGCAAGCCAGACCTCCTCATGGGTCAGCGCTGCGCCCACTCAGAGATCTCCCGTCATGCATCTCTCATCCCAGATTATTGCATGTGCCACCACATCCTGTTGTTTCTTCAGTGCTGTAAACAAGACCTGAATATGGAACTTTTGGCAAAATGCTTAGCCACTCTCAATTGGATAAGTAAGACAAGGAATCGCCTGGGAGTTCGATTTTTACAAAACCTGAATATTACCATATGATCTACCTGAGTCAAGGCCGAATGATTGGTGTCTTTTTGGTTGGAAGTCTTGACTGGTTTATATGTGGTTTTGTTACAAACATAAGAAAAAACTTCACACACAGTCATCTCTCTAATCTCAAACATAAGCACAGTACAGGGTGTAAAAATAATACTGCATCACTCACTACAGAGTATTATCAAAATACCATGTGTGCCAGAGGCAGCAACTTGTCACCTCAGGTGGTTTTGTATGATCTCATGTGATCGCACAGAGACGCAGACGTAAACAAAAGCACAGACAGACTTCGATACAGCATCACTCTCAGTGTAGTGATGCTATGCAGTGAGGGGAAAAAAGCAGAAGACTTAACAAGCCTGGTTGAGAAAATGTTTATTCTTCGGTAAAAACTGGAGTTGAGATTGTAACAGTGAGTTTTGTCAGCAGTAGCATGCTAGACAATTTTAGCCTCAAGACCTAGAATGTTTACCATTTCTTGGAACCATTATCACCTCTATCCAGATTTAAATGCTTAATATCAAACGTGTTTGAAATGTAAGTCTCTGAGCTGTTCTGGAGGTTAAGGATTTGATCTAAAACGTCCTCACACTCCCAGATAATCTGCTCCAAACATAAGTACTGACAAAGGGCACAAGCCAGGCTACCTCCCTTGGTTCACGGTTGGACTGACTCTGATAATAACTCTCCTTTCCTCCTGTTGTCTGCATGTTTTCTCCATGTAGGCCTTCTGCAAAACACTGTTTGGGCTACTATACTAAAGCTTAAGCCGGGAAATATCTAGATCATTTTGGGAGGAATACTTCGGAGATTCTCCCGACCTGGCATGCTCCTCACAGCTGGAGACTAATTATCCCTGTCAGACGGGAGTTTGGTCTCCTGAGCTAAGTCGTAATGTAAAAAAACAACGTGGAAGTAGTGGACAAAGCAACAGTCCGCTACATTTCACTATTATGAGAATATTTGCCTTTATAGCAATACTATGTGTAGTCCAACGGAATATATAAACAAAAGAACGGAGAACAACATATAGTATAGAAGTGTAGAAACGTCACTCCCCCTCCTATTGGCTCGAGGTGAATTCTCTGCAGAATATCCTGCTGCGTTATCACATCAGCCCACTCAGACTTGCTGTGGAAAAAATACGAGGGGTCTGGCAGGAGAAACTCCGGGTGAAGTCTGAGCGAAAAATGTGGCTGTTTGCGTTCACATATGCAGCTCCTCTGGGAAATATCCTGAGTTTTTCAGGAGATTTCTGCTAGTGTGAAAGCCCTATTACTGTTAAACTCTGGTTGCAGTTGGCTTCACAAGAACATCATCCTCCTTCTTTGAGGTTCCCAGTATTTTAACTGGAAATCCTTCAGCCATTGTCAAACATGCGAGAGCTGCATATAGATGATATGAGCTGATGTCATGTCTCTTCTTGGCTCTTTTCCTCTTACTGCAATAATTTATCATCCATTTAATCGCTCTATCTGACATGCCTCCCAACAGATTTCATAGTACGATGATTTCTACAAAGATATCTTTGAATCCATTTTGTCCTGTGTAACATGCAGATACCTTGTAAGAGTGTACTGCATACAATAAAAACATGAAATCTGTTTTAATAAAGAGTAAGAGATTGTCAGCGTAGTAACGGTACAGTAGTTTGTCCTAATGATGATAACAGACACGATAACTGAGTCTGTGAGCACAAATACATGAGTTTAGGAGTAAAAATACATTTCATTCTTTATTAAAAAATCTAAATTTGTATTTTTCCATTATGTATAAGTGGTTTTTGAAAACACTGAGTATCATATTAGTTCTCGCTGATATTATTATTGATATTATTTATTATTGATCCTCGGCCGGACTTAAGCTGCACATTTCAGTTGTTCGACAACAATGACGTCACTGTCAGCGGCCGAGCGAGTAGTGTCCAAAATGTTTTTTTAATTTTACCAAATGAGTGCACTATATAGTCCACTACATATAACTTACTATATAGTGAATAGGGAGTAGGGAATGAGTGAGTGATTTCAGACACAGTATCTGTTTTGACCTTCCAATGGAACCCAGTGTTTCAAAGTCAACACTTAAGCATTTTTGCAAAAGGCTCTGTTTATGCAGATTCAGGACTAAAGCGATATTTTTATTTACCTGAGTCATCGATATGAGCACTTGTATTACACATACACCCACAAGACAATGACCTTTATCTCTGCTGCAGAAATGTTACTAAATATGTACTTTTTTTTTCTCTCCCTCTCTTTGTTGTGTTGGGGTGTGTGTATGTAAATGTATATGTGTGCGCGGCTACATGCCTGTCTTTGCGTGTGTGTGCGTGTGTGTGCCCATGTGTTTACAGCTCCAGCCAACGCTCAGATTGTGCATTCAGGCGCTGCATGTAACGTCAAGGATGATAACATCAGTGAGAGGATCTACACCATCAAAGAAGGAGACACACTTGTGCTTCAGTGTATTGTTAAAGGACACCCACGACCACAGGTAAGCTCCAAAAACACCTGCTGAGCATGTGTGTGTGTGTGCATGTCTGTGTCAGAATATTTGTTGACCGACTGTTTTACATACATGTTAAAGCTGATCCTGCTATGTGGAGTGATTTTACTTGACTGAGTAGGTAGTTTTAGAGACTCACTGCTCAAGGACAACTTGAACAATAGTGTCACTTGTGGCTCTGTCAGCAGACCAGCATGCTGCACTCTCTCTAATCACTCCACACACAAAGAAAACGTGGACACTGGTGGGTGGATGGATGAATGTTAGGATGTATGAAGCTTTTCCAGAGCTTAGTAAGAAAACCCCCAGGGATTTGAAATGCTTTATTTTGAAAACTTGTTTTTAGAAACGGTTTGGCTCTGTGATATAAAAATCTAAATCTTAACAACTTAATGGCATAAAATGTTGCATATACGGTAGTTGATCAATCTTCAAAATCAGTGCCTGGAATTTTTAAAACAAATACATCTAACATCTAATCCCCCAGCCAATCAGAGTTTAGTACAGTGTGTTGCAAATTTATTTTGCAGACCTTACTCCTCAAGTTCATTCGATCTTGCACATTTTTTCTACTTCTTCAGATTGTTAATAAATGTTTCAGATTCCATCTTTTAAATAAACAACAACACAATTTTCCTGCACAAATATATGAAAGCCCAAAGTCTAATCACGCTGTTGATGCAGATAGAAGGCATTACAGCCTCTTTCAATCAGTCAAACACTTTGTTTACATAATGAAAGAATGAACCACATGCATCATGGACACATTCTGTGATCAGCATCAGTTACCAAACCTGAGCTGCAACGATTAGCATTAATAATATGATACATGTAAAACTACGTGTGTGCTTTTGTTGGTGCTGAGTTGCACACTCGCCCTTTTTTTTTACTGTCCAGTGGCACTAAGTTCAAACACATGGCCGGCTTCAGTGTCCTCCCGTGGACACTGATACAAGTTGACTCTTACCTGAGTCCTCTGTGTTGTCAGTGACACATTCAGTATAACTGGTTCTAACATTGTACACACTGTTTTGATGAATAAATGCAGCAGTGGCTCTGGATTTACAGTAAATGCTTGTGACTTAAAGGTCACGGGTTTAATTCCCCAAAATAGCTTGTGGCTAAATGTTCTCAGCCTGCTGTGAGCCGTGCCTACAAATTTAGTTAGCCTTTTAGCGAGGCTTACTGTTCAACTATGACGCATAAAAATAAAGTACAAGACTTAGTAACCATGATTTCAGTGCAGATAATTATATTTTTCAAAATGTAATAAATCAAAGAAAAGATTGATGGTCAAATTCAGTCTGCTGCTGAATGTCCCAAAGTCCTGTTTGGCTGCACTGTCAACAAGTACAGAATAACAAAAGCTGTTATACAAGAGCTGAACATGCTGTGTTTGGAGTGCAGCTGATTATTGGCTTAAAGAGACCATGGCCTTTACACTTTTATGATGTTCTATGTATGACAGTACTTAAGCACTGAATACACACACAAACACAGAGCAGCAGAAACAGCCAAAAATGGACACATCTGGTTTCCTGGGTTGAACTTAAGCAAAACATATTTAGACAAGGATCTGTCTCTCTCTGTCTGTGTGTCTCTCTCTCGCTCTTTCTTTCTCTGCGTGTGTATAAGTTGACGTAGATAGATGCAGACTGAACTAAGGTGACTGCCGTGGGATTGTGTGTTTTGTATATATTTATGTGGGAGTGTGTGAGGTGAGAAAAGCAGTGTTCCTCACGGGTGCATGTCCACTGGCATCACATCATCATGAATAAAACAGTGCCTGTGTAGAGGGCTTGTTTTTTTTTTTTTTTTTTTACTTTTTGTGTTTTCGTGTGTATGCAGTCTGTGTGTGCGTGTGTGTATGTTTGTAAGAGGCATATGTTTGTGTGTCTCTTTAAGTGCATCTTATTCATTTACACAATGCTGCTATATCTGATCACAAACGGAACAGTTGATCAGACCAGCCCATACTAACTGGCTGTCATATCACTCTCATTAAAGCAGTCTGCCCCTCCACCCCTTCTTCTTTCTTTGTCTCTCTCGCTCATGCACACACACACACACACACTGATGCACAACAAAATTTTCAGGCCGGGTTCCCTTAAACCAAAGCAGACCAAGTTTATATAAAAAAAAATGTCCAACGTCATAGTAATGATAATCATTATAAAAATGTTCTCTGAAAAACACATACTGCACAAGTTTATTCCCCTGGAGCTGTTCAAAGATGTAGGAAATTGCGTCAGTGATTGCTTGTTCTTTGGGTCGGAGGTGGAAGTCTATTTTGAATAATGATCACGCCGGCCACATTGGCAGAATATAAAATGTATATAATGTGTGCACAAACAAGACTTGAACTGCCCCTGGCAAAGAGACAACGGTTGAGTTAGTGTGTGTCTGTGAATACAAATGTGTGTATTTTTCTGCTTCTTTGCCTGTGTGGAAATGTGGATACACAATAACAAAGAAAGATAGGCTAATACAAAGAAACGGACCGCACTTTGAGACGGAGAGTTTTAGCAATGGAAACATTTAAGAAGGTCAATCATCCTCTGGTTTGAAAACAGAGGTTTATATCTTTAATTAAAAGTGTAGAGGTCAGTTCATAATTATTGCATGATTCAAGAAAAGTTTCCATTGTGGTTTGATAATAGCAGACCTTTGATGATATGTTCATAATGTTTGATCAGACTTGTAGGAAACAAAGTAACACTTAATATCTGACAGTAAGAGTGCACCATGTAACTCGCCATGCCAGCAGGCGGCTGTAGTCCGTTGTTGTGAAACGACGAGACCATTTTCATACCGCTGTCAAGCACCACTCGTTATATATGTAGCCTACTTATCAAGAATAATGTCTGATTAAAAGTTGAAAATGGCAATGCCGCTGTCAGGCCTTGGTCTTAGTGGAAAAAGAAAAAAAGAAGCGGAGGCGACAAATAAGGAGAAACCGCTCCTAATGGGTGAGAGCATGGACTACAGTGGCATGCTCAAGGGGCTTTCCCAAACCTGTGTCGAGAGCTGGAGATAAATGAAACCTCTGAACAGCCAATCAGAGACATTCCTCTCACCGACCGCAGACATCAATTCAACATGTCAAATTGGCCAAAAAAAGGTCGATGGGTAGCGATGGAGCCGGACACACCGCAAAAACTATGGCAACGACCGCTCAACGACGGTCCAACTAAGACGATCTCCTTGGTGTGCTAGGGCCTTAAGGGGACGGCCCCTGGTCCAAATCTGACCTGTGGCTCCTTTCCCACTCTCTTCACGATTTATGACTCTATTCAATGTTCTTTTCTCGTTAATAAAAACATAAAAAGCCCCAAAATAAATCTTTAATTAAAATAGAAGATTTGCGGGAACTTTTTTAAAAGCATGTCGCGGATATATTTTACACATTGGAGCAGATTCTTTCCTTTGAATGAATTGGAGAAGAAAATCTTCAGTAAAGGTCCCGTAGCCTTAAAAGTCATCAAGCAAGACATCATTATGAAGTATATCACTTGAGCTGAGATTCTTTTTTTGTTTTGCTGATGAACACAGCAAAGTTGTTGAAATGTGTTGTGTGTATGTTGAGATGTGGATGTTAAAGTTCCCATGAAAAGGCTTGCAGGGTGCTATTTCCTTCCACCTATTTTCTATGGAGGGGCTTGGACCTGTCAGATACATTAAATAACGTTTACAAAGGACAACAACAGCAAGTGAATAGAAGTGAGTTACCAACCCCCCACCCCAATACGCCATTCCATATCTTAAACAAACTCACAGAGATGACATCCATCATCATCAGATTGGAAACACTGTACTGACCCTCTGCTCTTTTCTAATTAATGAACAAAAGTGTTGAGAGTGGAATGAAAAATAAAGAAGCGTGGGATTTTTCTAGGAATTGCCAAACCTTCAGAAATCATGAAGAAATACCCAAAAGATATTTCCATCCACGTGATGATGAACTGTAGACATATGATGTAAAAATACAATTTTACCTCAGACTTCCAAAGATTATATTTCATTATTCCCTATTCCAAAGTCCCTTTTTTTTTTCTACCTTACATCTGCTGTGCATCATATTTGAAACTAGTGAGGGTCAACCACTGGAAATTCTTCCTGTTAATGAAACACTTAGAGTAATTTACTTTTCAGCACGTGTCAATAAAGGTGTAAACAACATCAGAATTCAGCTCATAAACTGGCAACAACATGTTTCAACGAGAAAAAAAAAACATGCAGTAAATAGCTGTTAAGAAGATGGTGGCATTTCTAGACATCATATGCAGTTAGAGAGAGATGAAGGCGTAGAGATTAGATACTTGCAACATGATGAAACCATGTAAGGACAATAAAAGAGAAATTGAGTGATGAAAGATTATGATAACAAACAGGAATGAAGATACAGTGATAAGAGATACGAGAAAAATTGGTGATTCTTAGTGTGATAAAGAGGAAAGAACAATTCAAAGTCAAGATAATCATGTCTATATTTGTGTGTGTGTGTGTGTGTGTGTGTGTGTGTGTGTGTGTGTGTGTGTGTGTGTGTGTGTATGTGTGTGTGTGTGTGTGTTTGTATGTGTGTGTGTATTTATCTCCACCAACACGATGCATTACTACTTAACCCTCGCTGCACAGAAAATGTAGCACAGGACATCAGCATTAGAGAAGTCAAAAGCAAAGATTTCATTTCTAGGAAACTGTACATCCTAAAAGCTGCTGCACTCAGTAAGACATTTTGACTGCCTGACCTTTGTCACATGTCAGCCCATATGCCCCCCGCCCCTTTTTAGCTGTCATCCTCTCTGTGCTGGATGGTTAAATCTAAAAAGACTTTTAATGTCAAAATTTGACAAAAATCTCCCACATTAAGCAGGCTTGTCAGATAAGCGCCATGTTCTCAGGCTGTGAGCACAGAATAGATTAGAAATAAATAGAAGTAAACAGTTACCCTTGTCCCAGTGTGTTGTGCTGGGGCAGCACACTGCAGC